AAATCATTTTTATTTTACAAAATCCTCTGAAATAAAGTAATTCTGCTAATAAAGAAAGATAACTCTAATTTATTTACTTTATTCATGAGAAATATCAAAGGCGGTAAACGTCTTTGGACAGATATGTTTAAATTTCGTTCGAATATCGCCGTCTTACCATTAGTTTTAAATTATAATTACAACACGGCTACAGATGACCATTCTAAAGCTGAACTGTTATCCAACCATTCCAATAACTGCTTTTCTGCAGTCCATGGATCCGTACCTAAACTTCTTGCTGCTTCTCCTGCTATATTTCTTCCAAATATTAAATTCGATGTTGGTAGTAAATTACTCAATAACACCAAAAGTGTAAGGTTCGACAATATACTGGTAAATTGTTTAAAATTGAGTGTCGACATTATCTCACCTCAGCTTCATTACATTTTCTGTCCCAGGGAAGTCCGTTGATTATTAATAAAGATCAAGAACAATATTGGACTAAGATACTTCCCTGAGGTACACATGATGTGAAAGGAACTTTTTTAGAGAAAGCCGAATCAATAGAAACAGTTTATGAACAACTATAGACAGATAAGAGGAGAATCATTCATACAATTCACCTTGAATACAAGCATGCAATCATTTTGCTAATAGTATTTGATGAGGTACTTTATCAAACGTTTTTTCAAAGTCAAGCGATATTCCTATTAATTTCTTTTTATTGTTTAAGTATTGATTTATAAAATTTGTTAGATATATTAGAGCATCTGTAGTAGACGAACGCGAACGTAAACCGAACTGTTGAACAGAAAAGAAATTGGTATTGGATAAAAATTCGATCAAATGTTTATAAATTCATTTTTCAAATATTTTACTTATATTAGATAATAATGAAATTGCTCGATAGTTTTTAACATCTAATTTATCATTTTTCTTATGAATATCTGTTATAATTGCAAATTTCTAAATATCAGGAAAAAAACTCCCGTATAAAAAGACACGACTGCAAAATTATCGTCTTTATTCATAGAGGACGTATTGTGTTATTGCAGATTTTGAAAATGTAAACTTGAATGCTGCCCAAAAATATGCGGATGAAATGTCAGAATGATGTGATCGACTGCTGGTCAAACTCAATACTGATAAATATCAATGGATAATGTTTTTCAACTTTTAAACCTTAGGCAAATTATAAATGTATAACATTCTTGAGATTATTTCATCTTTAAAATTGCTTTGAGTAAATATTGTGCATATTTTGACATGGAAAGATTATATTGACAAAACAGCTAGTAAATGCAAAAAAAATGCTTGGTACAATCTCAAGAATAACTGGAACTGCACCGTGTTTTCTTCGATTGCATCGGTACAGAATATGTGTAAGACCGGTTCTTGAAGACGACAGCTTTCTTCTTTATGACAGCTTCTAGTTCTTCGACTGTATCTCTACTTTTTCGTCCATCTCCATCCCTCTCTCTCTCTTTCTCTAAGCGTTATTTATTTACTACCTACTTCTGTTGATAGTTCTCTAACGTAAACCAATAATTTTATTTTTCACTTGTTCTCTGTTTTAACCTACCTTTAATATCTATTTCAAATAAATTAATTTAATATCGAAAATTGGTTAAAAACTTCACTAATTATCGATTTTTTAAAAAACAAAATAAAATATTTTTGCTTTTGGATATTTTCTCCTTTGAAAATTAATTTCAAATTTTCTACCATGTGTATTTTTTACCTTCCGATGTATTTTCCACATTTATTATTTCGATACCTGACATTCGATCAGTTAATTCTTTCTGAATAAAAGGACAAATTTCTCTCTCTCTCTTTAATAGGTTGGAAAGTGATATTTTCTCTCAAATTGAACTCTTTGAGAGGAATTGATCTCTCTCTCTCACTCTCTGTATATATATAGATATATACTTCATTATTTTGTGTTCATGTCGATTTAGTTGGTATTGTATTTGTTGTTGTTTTTTCTTTAAATCTGTTTTTTCTAATGACTTTTGTTATTCAGAGAATACCATTATCATAGAGATAAAACAGTTGATCATGCATCAATAATCGTATCTTTTTTGTCAGTATTATAATCTTTTCTTCTTCTTGTATAAATGTAACATACATGGAAATGTAGAAGAACTAAACGAAAAAAAACTCTTAGGATAGATGATTCTACAAAGAGTAGTCTATTTCTTTTTCTCTGCTTATTTTTAGAAATAAATTCGAATTATATAATTGAAGAAAAAAAGAAAAAAAAAGGGATTATGTCACAGGATGTGCTATATAATTTAATAAATTTGTTTTCTTTTGAAAAAGTATGCATTTACCTGTTTTAACAGTATAAAAATAAAGGGTTTAAATGTGCTCTTTAGTTTACAGATCCATGTTCAACTATTTCATGTTCTTTCATTAAGTAGTATTAATAATTTAGAAAATCAAAGACAAAGATGAAGATATGTTCTAAAGTGATTTAGTTATATTAATTACAAAGAAAAATAGAAAAATGTTTTACACAATAATAGAAAACAATGTGTAAGAGAATTTTACAGCATTCTTATATATGTAATTTGTTTCGACCTGTTTAAATCAAACGTTCGATGACACATGTATTTGATTTATTGTTGATATTAAATACAGTAGTTGAGATTCGTTGAGTACTTCGATTTTTTCCTTTATTTATTTTTGTGTCTAACTATAATAACAGAGAAGAAATATTCCCAATATTCTTACTTCAAATGTATAATTTTTTGACTATATCGGTAAGCAAAACTCTTTTCAATTGGACTTATAATACTCTATAAATATATTTATTTATTAAGTTACATCAAGATGCTATTATAATATTCAGTAAGTGTAAATCTTTAGATAAAACTAGAAAAGATCTTGAAAAGAATCAAAAATTGATCCCGATTTATTAGGTAATTTCTTTTCAACGAATCTTTCTATTGATGCCTCTTTTTTGTTTTATTCATACATGGTTATATAGATCTCACTAAGTTACATGAGAAAATGTTGATTTTATTTTTTTAAAAAGTTTTTTATAGGAGAAAATTTAAAACTAACTAATCTCAGTTTTATGTGCTGAATAAGGAAAAAAATAGTTTCGAGAAATAAAATGAGCAAAAAAGGTGAAAATTTAGCGTTTGATAACGGTTTTAAAAAGTTCAATAGGTTCAAATTTTCTCCTATAAGAAAATTTTCAAAAAAATAAAATCAATATTTTCTCATATAACTCAGTGAGATCTATATAACCATGTACGAAAAAAACAAAAAAGAATTTGTACTCGAATTTTGAACTATGAACATCTTAAAAATACATATTCATTCTTATTTAATCTACACTGTAAAAAATAGTCGTAGATTAATAAACTATCAAAAAGGGTTTATTGAGACCAATAAGCCTTTTAAAAAACGCTTTTCGGTTTTTTTTTAGATCCGAAAAACTAAAATGCGTTTGTGTCAGATGCAAAACTAAAATGCATCTGTCACAAACGCATTTTAGTTTTTCGGATCTAAAAAAAACCGAAAAGCGTTTTTTAAAAGGCTTATTGGTCTCAATAAACCCTTTTTGATAGTTTATTAATCTACGACTATTTTTTACAGTGTATAATTTAACTTTTTCAATCTACCACACCCTCCTTTCATTCCATAATTGCATGTGACCTTGGTCTAATATCCCATGTTATCATTAAACTAAATGCATGGATAGATGCATACACATTTTTAATCCATGAATGCACCTACACTTTTTTTCAAATAAAAATTAAATTAGTAATTCAGGAAGAGTAAATTATTTCAACTAATTGCCAATGATCTACCTCACAACATATCAACTACTTGTACTCTGTCAACTATTTATATAGAATATAACAACTAGAATAGAAACTAGTTCGTTCTAACTAGCTAGACGTCGATGTTACATATATGTATTGGTAGAGTTAGTGACGGATTTACAATGTGTACGGTCGCACCCAGCAGGAATATTTTGATACTATAATTGCTTTTCAGATTTGAAATGAGTTAGCTTACTATTTTATGATGGTATGATATTCTTGCAAGATACTACATACTGATTAATTTCTGAAATATTCCTTCAGGCACGTTTATTGACTGCTAATACTTTCTTTTAAATTTATATTTTCTGTAAAGTTTCAAATGCTAAGATCGAGTCTTCCAAATTGAGACCACTTTTTGATAAAAAGTGATCTCAATTAGGAATTCGTAATTAACATCGAACAAACATCAGAGGGCGGCTAGTCAAGTAAGAATGAAGGCGAAAAATAGCCGTCTCAATTAGGAAGTAGGGTGTCAAAAGGTATATCAAAAGTGAGAGTGAGTAATTAGGGACGAATCGAGACTAAACCAGAAGCAGCCGTTAAAGATTATCTAAAAAAATGTGGACTCATTTCTTGCGGTTAAAATCAAGTCAGAAAAAGTGCAGACAAAAATTGTTAAACATTTGCTCAAGCCCATCACATTCATTATACTAAGGAATTCATTTATCAATCAAAACATGCGATTGTATTTTTTGATCATTCACTATTAATATAAAAAATAGCATTTTTTTAGAACTTTTCTAAAGATATAATTCTCTTTTGAAACATCAGATCTTTTCTGTGAGTTTTCGGAGATTTTTTTAAATTCCTCTTCACAGATCGTTTATTTTTACTATTAATTTTATTTCTTATTCTTTCTTTCTCTCTCTCTTTTCTAGCAATTTATCGAAAATAATTCGTATATATTTTATTTCTTCATGGTCTATTATTTAAAAACATGTCAGATTAATTGATTGTTTTATAATCTTATTCACAAATTTATTAAACGATATTCTCTTATTTATGAATCAGACTTTATTGAATTGCACATTAGACTACAATTGTACGACAAACGTTCATAAAGATCCACTATTTTCCCATACACTAGCCACCATACAGGGATTCTTTTTAATACCGATATTTTTACTCGGAATTGGCAATAATTTTTTAACAATTCTTATCATTATCGTTAACAATGATATGCACACAGTAACAAATTGTTATTTACTCAATTTAGCTGTTTCAGATAGTTTGCCGTTAATTGTTAGTTTACCATTTGAAATTCAGGTATGTAATTATAGATCCATATACAAGAATGATACTATTAAATATAGCTTTCTAACTTACAGTTTTTTGTTATGTATATGAACTATTATCCTTTTGGACAAATTGGTTGCAAATTACGCAGTCTTTTAGCCGAAACATCCACTAATGTATCGATTTTGACCATAAGGTATAAGAAGTACTTAGCTATCATTTTAGAAATGTAAAATAATGTTTGATTTTTTAGTGCATTTACGATTGAACGATTTATAGCCATTTGTCATCCGTTACGTTCATCGTCATTATCAACTATTCATCGTGCATTAAAAATTCAACTTTTAATATGGATAATTGCCATTCTATTTGCTATTCCGTATTATCATTTAACTGTTAGAACATCGAGTGGATGTACATTGGACCTTACAAAAACTGAATGGTTGACACTATGTTTTCGAATATCAGCATCCATATTTTTTGTCTTACCAGCCTTTTTATTATTTATCATGTATGCCTTAATGGCACGACGATTATATACATCAGGATTTCTTCAAGAAGTAAGATCATCAAAAGATGGAACATCGGTACCATGTTTAGATGGTGTTCAACATCTTCAAAATGAATATGATAATCATCAACGATCACTGTTAGGCCAGTGTCCACATCGAGAATCAACAACAAGTATTCTAACACGACCAAATTCTCGTCTGTCACAACATCGAGAAAATTCAATGAAAAAATCGGCGTTCAAAATGTTATGTAAGTATATTGGTATATTAATTCTATATTTTAAATTTATCATAATAGAAACTGATTACCAGACGCTAGGGTGCACCATGTATTACGCGACATTAGGACGCAGAGAACGTTTGGATGCAATACCGGTAGGTACGTCGGCTGGAAAACAGCTCCGATGCGTTCGTTATAAATCAAATATTTTTGCTGAAACGTACTTTCTGCGACAAGTCTTGAATCGATTGAAATAGTGTAAACATTTACTCACCAACATTCATGCACCCATCCTCGTTCCTCGTCCTACTTATTCTCCGCTTCATTGTGAAAGTCTGCTATAGCGTTGTTACGCCTTAGCGTCAGTGCCCTAGAGTCAGTACACCCAATATAGCTGATCATGGATGCCCTATGATTTAATCATAAAAAAAGGCTTTTTCCTGTTCCTGTCGGATTAGCAGAGTATATGGAAATTTTGTATTTGACAGTTAAAGCATAATACTGATTAAATAATACTTCGAGTGACGACTGAATCGCTTATTGAGATTTTTATCTTTTATTTCTTAGGTTTCAAGGTAATCTATTTGTAAGGCTAATCGTGTGAAATATCTAATGAATAAATGTCTATATAAAGTTACAGAAAAAGTTTTTTTTAAATGAGTTTCTTCCTAGGTTCCGTTCTTTTGATCAAATTCAAAGCATACAAAAATGTATCTCATTACGGTTAAAATAGTCTCTATTGTCTTGATAGTGATAGACGTACAACTAAACAACGTTATCCAGAAATTCGTATCTTGTTAATAATAAAGATGATACATGCAATCACGCACGAGAGAAAAACTGACGATGTATATCATGCAGTTTTTTAAAAATAGACTATTACGTGCGTAAATACTATAGATGTCGAATAACACCACATACATGACTTTGTTAGTTAGGGTCATTTCTAAATGAATACAAATAAAAACGTAATTTTATTATCTTCAGTCAATTATACGCAGTGCCGTGGAGAATCATGGAAGTACTCCAATATGACTTTCGCCAATTGGCGAGAGATCATGGGGTGTACCAGCGAAAGTCCACTTTGCTTTCGCCAATTATGACTCGAGTTGTATTGTCTCTTAATGCAAGTCATGTCCTTTTTTCATTTAAAAAAATTGTAACTTGCATGAAGAGACCATGCAACTGAATTATTGGCAAAAATCCATGGGTAGTATTGACGAAAGTACACTGATGATATTGGTGAAAGATTAGAGGACTTTCGCCAATTGACGAAATTCCCGTTTGGCGAAAGTCATATTGGCGTACTTCCGGATTCCCTGCCGTGGCGAGAGAAAAAAGCAGAAGGAGCATAAATTTTTGGGAGAAAGGCAAAATGTGTTTTGAGTCCCCCAAAAGTTGTTGGGAGAATGGTTATTAGCAGGAAAAAGTAAGAAATCTAAGAAGCAGAGGAGGTGTGCACTCCTCTACACCCTCCCTATCGCCACGACCCTGATTATACGCCTTTACTGACAAATATTAGTAATATTCAATTTCGTGTCATAAAAGAGTAAAATTAGTGAAACAAATTTCTCATAAGCTATAAATCAAAACTAATTTAATTCTTTTCAATAGCAAAAAATCTTCTAAATTTTGAAACAAAACTATTTTTAACTGTACTGATCAGAGCTCAGCACGACCCAAGTCGGGTGAGAAAATTTTATAGAGTGATCGGACAGGGCCTGGGCTGCAAAGTATTTTGATCGGATCGGGCCGAACTTAAAATTTTTAAGCATGCGTGGATTTATAATTTTTGTGTATACTCAGTACCGAAAAAGAGTATTATCACTGTTACGCGACATCTTAATGACTTCGTTTAGCTAATCCCTTTAAAGGTTGAAAAAATGAAAACCAAGAAATCAAAAAGATATAAATAGTAGCTTGAGAAATACATTTACACCACTTAGCCAGCAAAAGCATTACAGATACAAGAATAAAATCACGCCTAGGACCAGAAAATTTTAAAAAGTGATCGGGTTGGGAGAAATTTTTCAGGACTGGTCGGGTCGGACCAGATAAATTCCACGTTTGGTCGGACCGAGCCGGACTTGGCTCGGAAGCTTTCATCATCGACCCGGGCTGAGCCAAAAATTTTTGGCTCGTGCGGATCTCTGGTACTGATCACTTCATACATTTATCTTTATTTTAGTTGCAGTCGTAGTAGCTTTTATTATTTGTTATGCCCCATTTCATGTTCAACGATTAATAACAAGTAAAATTGAAGAAAAGAGTTTAACAATATTCAAACGACGATGTGTGGAACTATTTTATTTTGTTAGTGGAATATTATATTATCTTGGATCAACTATTAATCCGTAAGTTCAAGATATACTCATCTAATCAGATGAATTTCTGTATCTTTTAATATATGTTTTAGAATATTTTATCATTTATTTTCAAGTAAATATCGATTAGCATGTACTAGAACATTGAAACGTTTTATACATTGTCGAAAAGAGAGACAACAAAAAATGTCTCAGGCAGAACAAATGAATAAAATATTACATAATCATCGTGAATTCGGCAAATCAAATGCAAGATTGCTATATTACACGACAATTCCACCTCCTATTTGTAATAAATGCATAACTCCACATGTTAAACCCGATATCGGCCCCAATGATTATATCAGTAATCAAAAATTGTTGACACATTCACTTCCAAATTTAACAGAAAAACATCATTTGTAAAAATATGAAGAACTGTTTGTTTGTGCCTCATCTGTCAATCAATATATGTCATTATTAACTATAGACTTCTTATTTCCACAAACGAGATCATCATAAAATGCGACATTGTCGATTAATTTCGGAACAATTATATATCACGCGAAAGCATCACAGAAGAAAACATTAATTGATCATTATATCAAGAGATCAAACGACACACAACAGAGTAAATTCTTCGAAACGCATAGTTGAAATATGAGTGAAAGAAGATCTAGAACATTATTGAAGAAACATAACCTATTTCGTCCTACTCTGAAAACAAAGTTGAGTTTTTAAAGACGGTGAAAAAGCAGACATGGACCTTATCTCTTACGGAATTTTTCACAAAACAAAGCTGTAAATAGTTTTCGATTGATCAATCTATAGAAAGGAAAATTTTTCCTTCATTTTATGTGTCTATTGTGTTGATTATGTGCCTACTCGATGATCAAGTGAGTATGCCCACTGTGATCATAAACGGGTATAATGCGGCTGCCAGTGGAAGAGTTTTTATCACAAAACTCATAACAAATATAGTACAAACTATGACACGTCATTCTAAAGATATTATCAGATCATTGACATTTCTTTAGACTGATAATTGTATTTATAAATTTATTTAAGAAAAAACAATAAGTGAGAAATAAAACTGAACAAAATAGCTAAATTTTTTTACAGTGAGCTTTTTTTCTTCGTGTATAATTCATTATGTGTAGCGTCAGCTACGTTTTTCATTTAAGAGTATTAATAATAAAAAGAGTACACCGAGACTTAAATAACAAAAGATACAAACAAAAAACATAAACAAAAACAAACAGCACACATAGACGAGTGGATTAAACAGATGGTGTTTATCACTCCCTGAGACATAATCGGGTAAATCACATTCTGATCACATTCAGTTGTAAAAAATAGGTAGAGAACAGAAAACTATATATCAGATCTGAATGAAATTAAAAGTTATTATGTGAGTTTAACTCAAAGACAAGATAAAAAATGACATAATATATTAAAATCCATGAATTCAGTATCACAAAAATTCAGACAAAATGAGATTCTCACTTCATGAATCGAGCTTATCTTTCAAAAAAAGAACAGAAAGTAAAAGCAAAACCGTTGCATAGAAAAAGTGAGAAAATGATTTTTTTTTCGTAGAATGAAGGAAAAAGCATATGACTATAAATTACCAAAAATGAAAATAAAATATTTGAATTGATTCCTTCTACTCTCGTATCATATATGATGTTATTTGATACATGTTAATAGTAAATAGTAACTCAAGAAAACTGAGAAAACAAAAAACATGTTCAATACCCAAAATATTTATCAAACCAACAAAGAGATATACATAAATAAATATTGCTGTAATCAAGCAATATCTATGCTAAGAGATTATCGGAAACAGACGTTCTTCTTCCGGAGGTTTCTGGGTTTCTGGATTTTGTTGTTAGTTTTGCTATGGATCGATGCTGGAACGAGACAAAAGAATAAATTATATTTTAAAAGGCTGAAATGCAATAGACATCTAGAATGACTGCTAAAAGATATTAAATTATTTTTTTCTTCTCGCTTGGCATACAGTTATGCATGATATATGTCGACCAACTTACATAGTACTTTTCTCTCCGATTCTACAATTAGTCGTATAATAGATGGATGAAAAAAGCTCCTTTATTTCGTGCATTTCTGTTGCAGTGAAAATACAGTTAGTTAAATTAAAGTTTTAGGGTGAAACTCAGGTGTAAACAAAGATTTTCTCAATCTCTTTTCTTCCCCCGATTCTATTCTTGGGCTATATGCAGAAACACCACTCTCTCTCTAGTGCTGAAAAGTAAATATCTCATGCACGATAGAAAAGGCCGACAGAAGGAAAGGCGATTTCGAAACCTTTGTTTAAAGCTAAGGCTAAGTTTCTCCTTAAAACTTTCATGTCACTAATTGTGTTTTTTTACCAAAACACAAGTGCATGAAATAAGAAAGCCTTTTTGCTAGTTTACAGACTAGAAATCCATAGGTACTATAGACAAACATACAAATAATATTTATTAGTTTAACCACACAAGTTTCTACGCTTTTTCTAAGGCAGCTGCTCGAAAATCCGGCATGAAAAATATCAACCATAGTTAAATGTTCAACAAAAGAGCAGCTAAAAACAAGCTCGAATGAAGATTTACTATATGATACAAAGTTGAAACGGAAAAAGCTTCCGCTCTACAAGTAATTAACGTTAATTGTTTAAAAATCAAGCTACTTTTTTTTATCAGCATATCGAAAAGACATCCACTCACCTGTCGAACATAATGCATCGCCTCGAAGAATGCTATTACAGCGAGACAGAGTAAAAATGCCACAATCATATGACCGACTTTGATTGTCTCATAGATCCGTCGACCAATACGTAATATTCGATTAGCAACACGAAGTCTTCTAAGTGTTGACTTATTTAATGTGATTGTCTGATCAATCCAAAACATAGGTATAACTCGCTTTACTCCTCTTGAATCTGTTTCTCTAGCAAAATAAAATTCAGGTGCACTATGGATATATATTATTGTAAAGACTAAATATTTTTATTTACTTCGCATTTCCATATCGATCCACTTTTATTCGATCAATATATGTATTAGTATTCAATTGAATACGAAGTTGAGCTTTTATTGGCGTGCCAGTAATTGGCTCAAAATAAATTGTTGATTCATGTTTATCTTTGTCTGGTGAAAAATTAACATTCCAATTTATTACCGATGAATTGTGAGTAGTGTATGTGTGCGGTTTGGATAAATAGAAAACATCGTTCAACACATCTGTAAACGTAAACAGTATTAATTTTTAACTTGATAAAAAAGACTGAACGTCTGAACTTTACCTGAGAAACACTTTGATATATCCAAATATACTGATTCTTCACACGTCTCGTTCATATGTGAACATGTTTCATAATCAACTAAACGTAAAACGTATTCATGAACAGCATCAAAACCAAACATAGGAATCGTCTGACTATATCGCAATTGAACAGGTCTAAAAGATTAAAAAAACAAAAACGAAACTCATAGCAATTAAATAATGCTCTAAACCAACTACTCACCGACAAAAATCTGCTTGAAAAACATTAATTGCTGCCAATCTGGTTGGATTACTTAACGGTGGAAAAGTTAAGGAATCTGAATGTAAAATCGATAATAAAGGGTAGGTATGTATAGATGATAGAGAAAAAATGACGCACCGTAAACGGCAAAATCATATTTATCAGAATTTGTTGTAAAGGATGAACTAAATAAAAAAAAATGTGTATCGCTCTCAATATTCAGATGATTCTCAGCGTCTTATGCAGTCCTTGCAGTTATTTGTTCAGTAAGATACGTCATTCAGAAGAGTGGTTCTGCAGCGCACCAGTACTACATCGGTAAAACTATGATTATCTGACCATCTCTCTCTCTTTCGACAAAGGGCTCATGTATATCAAATTCTCAATTGTCAAAAATCTTTAGTAGAAGATGGAGCGTAAACAATTCGTACTTTGAGATATAGCTTACTATTCGGTTTTATAATCAAGCATACGTCCTTTGTCAACTGAGTCGTTAAAACCAGTTCGTATTGTATAATTATACCCACGACTGGTATTATACTGAAAAATAAATAAATCATACACAAGTAGTTGCTTTTGCGCTGTTGAGCCATTCTTACACGATAGATATAACCATATTTTTCTGTATTTGGACCCATCATGTTCGATCGTATAAGAGAAAATGTTGCTGAATTGAATCCTTCAATTAGATCAACAGCATGTGTATAATTAAACACATTAAGACCAGAACCAGCAAAGAAATTTTGGTCAGGTTTTCGATCAAACCGTGTTCGAAATAACTAAGTAGCAGAAAGAGGAAACAAAGGAAATGAGTAAATGGTTAATGCTGTTGTTGTTGTTCTTACCACTCGAGGAATATTAACGAATGCTCCTTCTCCCTCCAACAATGTTTTATCAAATATGCCAAGACGTTCAAAGAAACGCTCAACAGTATAGGTCACTTCAGTATTGTCATTGAACCATTCAATATCATTCTTTCTGATCAATAGTCTAAACGAGACATATTGTAGATTAAAAAAGAATGTGTAAGTAAAAATAAACAGTACATACTTGTACATAAATGGATCAGTTTCCTGTATTTCAATGGGACTATTCGGACTTGACATTACAGTCATATAATTTGTTACATTGAATAATCGGTATGCACGTGTTGTTGTTACCGGTGAATCTATCCAGGTTTTGTAACCAGCAGATTGCGGATAAAGTTGAACTTTCTAAAAATGCAAATGAAAGCAATGATTGTTCAATAAGCTTGAACTCAGTCCATTAGACAGAGAAGTCTTTGCACAAAATTTTGATGCTCTACCTTTAAAACTATATTATGTATCCAGTTGGCTGCTTTTGGCCATTGAGTAATGAGTATTAATGCTGGTGTAAATATAAGTGATAAAATAACTAACGAAAACATAAATCGTCCAGGCATGGTCCAACATGATCGACAAAAACCTTTTTTAGAATGTTTCGACTTTATTCGTAAAGTGGGGATTCTAGAAAAGTGCAAATGGAGACTTATTAACTAATTGAGAAAAGTAAACAAATTCACCATACAAGATTTCATTTTTATCTGACGGTCTATTCGAATCATCGATTTGGAGACTATCTTTTTGTGTCGTCATCTATAAGATATTAACATGTACATTATTAAAAAAGGATGGTAATGGAAACTACATTGCCAAAGATTGTACTTATATTGAAAGAACAACTTTTCCTTAATCTATGCCTCGAAATATTTTCACATATCAGAATTTTGCTAAGTAAAAAAATAAAAACTGCGGTAAACGAGTATGGTGGACTGTTTGCCACTTTGTTCTCCTCGATAAGGCGATGATACAAGATGGCTGTATTAATAACAGATCCAACGGTATCATAATCATTAATGGGCGTGAAAACACTCATGGTATTACTTGTAAAAACATCGCCTAATCGATGATAAGTGCAATCAGCCAAAACGATAACTAATTTTCAAATAAGCATAAATAAGCACTAAACGTAAAGAGGGTGATGAGAAAGAGTTCTACGGCTGATATTGAATATCGAAAAATGACCAAAAACTAAAACAACTTTTAGCAGAAAAAACTGGATCGTCGCTGGTAGAGCATACGACCAAGTAGAATAAAATGCTATGATAAAGAATGCAAAAGAATTTAGCCTGTATTAGATTCCTTCCATCTTCCATTTCTAAGGGATATTGTTTGTGTACAACTCACGCATTCACTATTTCTGATGTCTCTGTCCCTACATAGAAACAGACAGTTTGTAGTTACATTTTGTCGAAATTGCTTGACTTACAGAATTTTTCAATTCTTACTCATTCACCCATTCTTTCTTTTCTCTCGATAATAGCACTTTTTAATTTGTTCGATGATTGTATGTCAGGAAAAGGGTGTGTACTCTGGTAATTTCTTTTTTTCTTTTTTTCTTCATGATTTTTTCGGTCTCAATGGTAGCCTTTTTCTTACAATATATTTCCCTTTTCAACAATATATTTAGTGAAATAGAATCAAAGTGCTTAAGCATACACGTACAATGCTTTTATATTAGTAACGAACTATTCCAACGGGCCTTTTCCACAATGTGAAGTGAATGACAATTATGTAGGCTTTTGTTTGTCGATAGCGCACATTTCGTGAATGAATGAATCATATTGTGTCGACTAATCGATGTCCACATGTTGTGCACGTGAACTACTCAATTCAACTATTTTCTCCTATTATCTATTACATTAGAACGAATTAGATATTACTAATCAATTTGTCAACAGAATCAATACAATATGATGATACACAAATGTCTCTTTGTAACCAGTTTATAATTACGTCGATTGTTTTTATTTCAAGAATGAATGAATGAATTACCGCGTTGTCGTCAGAATCTATGCGAAAATGGGACAATATGTATACAAGACGAAGGGACATATAATTCAAAATCAATAGGTATTTGTCCTTCATATAAGTGATTCGGGCAACAAAATATGATCTCTTCTCTCATTGGCTTTTGACTACCTTACTTTACCTACCATAATTCATCTCTCTCATCGTTCGATGCACTATACCAAGGGGGAGAAAGCGTCTCCACAACCTGTCGAACTCCATGAACAAATGTTTGTTTATATGGTATCGAAGTTTGGATACTTACCTAAATTGTGTTGCATGCAAAATCTAATGATCATACTGCTAGATTTTTTATCAAGATTATAAACTTATTGACATCTTCGTGCCCATTTCTCGTACTGTGACTTGTTTCTACAGAAAACATAAATACAAACGAGCTGCGGATGATGGGAACAACTTCCCTTTCTAAACTTCGAGATACAATCATCACCACTTTTTCATTCTTGATATTCGTCATGTATTCGTCGTCATTGTCGAATGTGTTTAGAGAGTTGGTTGAGTCACGTAGCTTGACTTGTGTCTTCATGTTATTGTCTTTTGCAGCAGTGGTACAACGTGTCAATATATAGAAAAAAGTCATTTTCATACTTGAGTTTGACTCGCCACCAAATTAAATTGTATCTGATTGAGACTGTATACTCTAAAAAAAAGGTATAGTATGAAACTTCCCAAAAAAACTCGGTCTGCAAGAATCTTTGCAGAATCTGTAAAGATTCTGCAATCTGCAGTTTTTCTGCAATGCAGATGTGCCAAGATTTGGCCAAAGATCTGATGCAGATCTGCAATAAAATCTTTAAAGTTTATTTGCAGTTTATCTGATGTTTGGTCAAATCTTGGCACATCTGCAATGCAGATCTGCTTCAAATCTGCAGAATCCCTTTGCAGAATCTGCAAAGTTACTGCAAAGATTTTTTCAGATTTATGTTGCAGAAAAATCACCTGGGTTTTGACGTTCTGAGAAACTCTCTCATACCAATCAGGATTCACGACAAGGTAACGCTCGTTTTGCACTCGCTCTTTCCCTTGACTTTAGGAATTTCGCAGATCGCATGTGAACCACCTTCCATGACTTTTAAATCAAAGACAACGCTCACGCCTCCCCTCGGTCGACGTTCGCTATGAACTATCTGAAATATGTTGTGAATATTTCTCTGATTTGATGTGTAAGGTTCATAATCTAATAAAAATCTGAACAGTTTTCTCCAGACCCTCCAAAGATTCTCAGAGGTCTAAAATATTTCTGCATTCAAGAAAATGCTCACCCTCCATTTGGTCGGAGTTCGCAGTCTGGATAGCTGAGAAATGTTGTGAATTTCTCTGATTCCACGGAAAAAGCGCACATTGTAGTATAAAGCCAAAGAGTTTTCTGGGCACCCTCTGAAGAACCAAGGGGGCCGGAAGTATTTCTAATCAATTCGCTATAGTAGACTATCTACATTCTGTGACTTTTATTACCTGTAGATGACTTTTTGTGTTATCAACATAGGTGATATATTTTTACAGTATGCGAAGTCAGCTAATTTTTTTGATAATATTTTCTTTTACAATATTTTGACAATCCATATTCATGCGCATTTTTATCAGAATATGATTTTTGCGCAAACAACAAGTTACGTGCATAATTGCCGTGCATAATTGGCTTTCCTTTGGCTACTGGCATTTTTTCGGTTGTTTTTGGTGCTAGGCAGTAGAAATAAATAAATACGAGGCAAATATACAAAAAGGAACTGTATGAAATCCATACATAGTACAAAGCCTCTGCGAAACCTTTTTTGAAAGCAGAGGAAAAAGGTATCGTACGAAACCTTCTTCGTACGGAACCTAAAAAAGATTTAGAAATGGTTTCAATTCTCGAAACCTTTCTTAAGTTCCGTACGGCACCTTTTTTTATGGAGAGGAACCAAACAAAACGTATGAGCAAACTTTGGGATTACGAAACAACAGAATTTTTCTACTTAGAGCATATCACAAACATTACGTTATTTAGCATAAATTTTTCGCTTATCTTTGATTGTTACAGCAACAGAACTAATAAGTTACACCAAATCTGAATGAGTGAACAAATGTTACTGCGCATATTAACTGTTTTTTTACAGATCACAAAGATTTTGTTTTTCATGTTAACGGTAGGATAAAAGGGATAAATGTTAGTTAGCAACCTCTAGTAGGTATGCACTAGTTCCAGTTTTTAACTGTAAGAACTGGATCAGTTGACTTTTCAAAAATAATTTTCTATCTAATTAAATCGACAGGCACATGAACAGGCATATAGGGTGTCCGTAAAGTCCTTAGAGTTAGAAAATGTTCAATGTTTTCGTCATTCTTTACCCAAATGAGCTGATTTTTTTTCTGAGTATAGTAAGCGGATAGAAGTGTCTATTCATCACGGAGATCTCCATGTGACTTTTTCCTCTGGGGGTATTTGAAAGACACGGTGTTTAAACAGCCACTTACTTCCATTCAAGAACTTAAACAGAGAATCGAAGAAACTTGTGAATAGATACCAGAAGAAATGTTTCGCAAAGTATGTCGTTCTGTTCAACAGCGCCTTCATGTCTGTATGAATAATGGAGGACAGTTTGTCTCAAACTAGGCTTACATATCAGTTACATTGCTGATTAAATAAATAAAAGAATATACTATAGCATCAGCCTTAACTATGAGAAAAAACCTCGTTGT